ATTCTTGTTAGCCTCCTTTCCTATCACTTACACAACAGAACTATTTCACAGCACAATAAATAATTTTTTTATATTTCTTAGCATTTGCTCAGGTTCTTTTCTGAAATTCATTCTCTGGGCACCTACCTAAAGAAATAGTCTATCTTACATGGCATTCTACATTCTCTCTTCCGTGGAACTCATGGACCCACGTCAAGTTTCACTTTTTCCAGAAAGCCTGCCCATTCCCTCCATGGGCTTTTATTTTTATTTATTTATTTATTTTGAGACAGAGTCTCACTCTGTCTCCAGGATGGAGTACAGTGGCACCATCTTGGCTCACCGCAATCTCCACCTGTCGGGTTCACGAGATTGTCCTGCCTCAGACTCCCTCCTGAGTAGCTGGGACTACAGCTGCATGCATGCCACCACGCCCAGCTAATTTTTGTATTTTTAGTGGTGACGGGGTTTCACCATATTGGCCAGGTGGTCTTCATCTCGGGACCTTGTGATCTGCCATGGGCTTTTAAATGAAACCATTTACCTGTTTCTATTATTGTACCCGCAGTTGTATATTTGTATTTCTGATTTTTCAATTGTTAGTTGGAAAGTTCCATAAATACAGAATCTCCTTTTTATTAATTTCTTAATTTTATTTTGTTAAATAATTTTTCTATTTGTGCCTTCATTTTTCTCCAAAATTAATTAATGTACACTGTGAAACAGTCCATTTTTCAAAAATATCACCTGGGGTTATTCCTAAGTCTCACAGAGTTTGAATATAAATTTCACCTTTCAGGGTGATTTAAAGGCTTTAAAGTAAGAGACATACCATTGTTTTATTTGCCTTAGTCCCGTCTTAAAACCAGCTCGGAAATTTCACTCTTTCCCTTGTTGGGTTCTCCCCACATTCCCATTGCTTTTCCGCATTGGTTATTATTGTCACTTTCACCTCTACTTCTGCCCTACTTAATCTTAGGCTCAAAGGCATGGCCTTAAAAAAAAATCTGAGTTCACTGGACTAAGGCTAGACAGAACTAGATTAGGCCAGGCAAGGTTGAACAAGGTAGAATTTTTAAAAGAGCCTTGGGTTAGTTGGGGATGGAGCTAGTTGTCCCAATAACATTTAACTAGCTTAGTGCCTAGTACATAACAATATCCAATAATTTTTATTAGATGAGTGACTGAATGAATAATTGAATGAAATTATATAGAACAAGAAACAGAGCCAAGTATACAGGGAAATTTAGGATGTGCTAACAGTGACATTTCAAGGCCATAGCATGAAATTGATGAAATTACAAATAAATATTAAAGCCATTCTTATGTCAAAATTCATTTATAATCATTTAAAATGAATTAAAGGGCTGATGTGGTGGCTCACACTTATAATCCCAGTGCTTTGGGAGGTCAAGGCAGGAGGATCACTTGAGGTCCAGAGATTGATGGTGCATGCCTATAGTCCTACATACTTAGGAGGTAGAGGCAGGAGGATTGCTTGAGCCCAGTAGTTTGAAGCTGCAGTGAGCTATGATCCAGCTACTGCATTCCAGCCTGGGTGAAAGTAAGACAGTAAGACCCTGTCTCAAAAAGAAAAAGGATTAGGCCAGGCGCGGTGGCTCATGCCTGTAATCCCAGCATTTTGGGAGGCCAAGGCGGGTGGATCACGAAGAGATCGAGACCATCCTGGTCAACATGGTGAAACCCCGTCTCTACTAAAAATACAAAATATCAGCTGGGCATGGTGGCGCGTGCCTGTAATCCCAGCTACTCAGGAGGCTGAGGCAGGAGAATTGCCTGAACCCAGGAGGCGGAGGTTGCGGTGAGCCGAGATCGCGCCATTGCACTCCAGCCTGGGTAACAAGAGAGAAACTCTGTCTAAAAAAAAAAAAAAGAAAAAGAAAAAGGATTAAAGAATTAAGGTAAAAAATAAAATCCTAAAATTAGAAGAAAAATATAAATGCATTTATATTGCCTTAATACACAACCCAGTATCTGAAAGGAAAAGATTGAAAATTTAAATTACATAAACATAAAATTTTTGATTAACCAAAATAAACAACAAAATTTTTGATTAACCAAGATAAACAAAATTTTTTGATTAACAAAAAAAATAAAACCAAAAATACCAAAAATGTTTTCAAGAAATGTGCTTAAATATTAAAAGACAAATGGAAAATGTTAGGGTGAAGGATGCAATATAGATTATGAAGATTAAATATATTCAGAGACCTTATAAACACTAGTTCAAAAATTTTAAAAAGACATGAACAATTAACAAAATAAGAAATACAACTGTGCAATAAGAATGCAAAAAACTCCAGTTTCACTTGTAATGAAAAAATAGATAAAACAATATCAGTTTATTAAACATTGACAAGATTGACCCTATCCAATTTGGGTATGTATAAGTAAATAAACAGCAAAAAATCTATGTGCTGTTTGTGAGAATATAAATTTTTATGAAGTTTTTGGAAACTAAGCTGGCAATAATGATTAAAGGACTTAGAAATGTGTATAAACTTTAACCCAAATATTTCATTTCTAAGCATACATATGTGAAATATGCATGCATGCCAATTATATATATGGGATACATATGTAGTAGAATATTGCATAGCTACTAAAATGATGATATAGATCTACATTTTTATGTGCAAAAATATTCATAATGTTAGGTTAAAATATTTATAAAACTATACTCAGTAGTCAAATATTTTTTCATTATGTACAGCACTGTGTTAGGTGTCAGAGATACTGCAATAAGCAAACACACAAAAATCCTTGCCCTCATGAAGCTTATAGTCTAAAGGAGAGAAAGAAACAAAATAAACAAAAATATGATTTATTTTATTAGAAAGTGGTAAGTACTACAAAGAAAAAATGAAAGAGAAAAATAGAAATTGAAATTATTAGATTATCCCTAGAAGAACAATAAAATATGTTAAAAATGGCTACCTATATGTTAGGGTGCTTTCTCATTTATAATTTTTATTTTATCCAATGTTTATAATTTGTTACGTATATAGGAAACTTTCATTTCCTTATTTCAGAAGGAGAAATGTGAATATAAAATACAAAAAAGTAAAATTTTAAAATGCATTGTCACAGTTTTCTACAGAATTTAGGTTGTATCAAAAGCAGCTGATTTTCTAAAAATAAGAGAAGTTTAATAATTTGATGGGACTTAAGAAATAAATCTGTCAAAGTGTGACAGAACAGCAAATATTCCCAAACCATCCATTTTACCATGCTATTTTCTAACTGAAATTGCTAGTATCAATATTTCTAGTTTCTATTTATTGCAATAGTTCCACACTATTATGGTGCTAAGTTATGGATTTTAATCTTACAAATATTTTAGTTTCATCCTGCTATCTCTTAGTTGAACCTAGAAACAATAAGTACCACCTCTAAAGCCTCACATCTAATACTATAATTTGGTTGCAAATATCAACAAGTGGTTCAATGGGAGTGGGAGGTTGGGGCAGGGAGAAGAGCCTTAATTTATATTATTTCCTGATTTCCATAGTGTAAACAGTTTCATCATCACCGGTTCCATGAAGATAGGAAGAGCTGTGCACAATAGAGTTCTGTGAACCAATTCGAACCAGCTCCACGATCCCATTGATCCATCCCCTTCCTATTCTGTCCGCTTCACACGTCTGCTAAATTTTCACAGTTTACTATGCCTACTCTACTCCTGCACAATTCCTATTCTACTTCACATTCTATTATGGCTCACAGGAATGCTCTGCCCAAGCTAGGTCAGAACACTCCTTACATGCTGACTTTACTCCCTGTGTTCATGCCGTTTCCCTCATGGGGATTGCCAGCCAACTTCCTGTCTATTTATATGATACCTACAGTTCCACATATTACACCTACAGTTCCATTTAAATGGAGTTCTAAGCTCCATTTAAACTAACCTTATACCACATTATACAGTTTTTTGGGACTCTCCATTTCTCAATAATGTATCTTTTTTCAGAACTCTTTCAACTTATATTTTGGAAGCACTTATATGTCAGGCACTGAGTTCAGAGTCTATATACAACAAACCAAACAGCCACAGAACACACTCTCATAAAACATACTTTTAAGACATTAATTAAGTAATCATGAAAATGTATAATGAGAAACAGACAAATGTTAAAAAGAATGCTAACAGAACACAAGAGATGACTTGATTTCTTCTGTGAAACCATATCTTCTGCCACTGTGTGGTCTTTACCTTGTTTCTGAAAGTGCATTATGTTCCTCAAGTTCATGGTATCCATAAGTGACATCTACAATAACTTTGCCTTGACTCAGCGTTACCTCTACATTTAGTGTGTTTTCAGAGACAATGTTGGTGCTTAAAAAGAATATCTTGATTAGATTACACCTGTCAGAGCAACTGACAACACTATTAGGATGACAACAGAGACCAAGGATCTAAGAAGACGTCCAGAGAAGAAGGCGTCCAGAGGAGAAGGCAGGCAAAAACTGAGGCTGACCAAGGGTTCTGGCCAGACCACTAACTAGGACTGAAGCAAAGAAGATTGTGTAGAGCTTCCCATAGAGCTAGCAAAAAGAGGTTAATCGAAGACTAAAGGACACTGAGAGCAGCTGATAGAAGATCAAATTAAAGAAGGTCTCTACTTTCATACAACTTGCTTTCCAAATTCAGGAACCTAAAGCAATCACTTTGATTTTCTTTCACAAAACAAGCATCCCCTCAGAATCGAATATTAACAAACTTACTTCACTCCATTAATGATAATGAAACAAAGGATTAAGAGCAATAGCAGGGTTTTAACTAATCAATAGGTGACTTCATATGCAGAAATCTCTTTTCTGCAAATATCTATTGATTGGCCAAAGCAGGCCTTCTGACCTCTCCAACTCTCATTCTCATCCTTAATGTCTGTTATGGTTTGATTTGGGAGTGTTTGAAAAAAACAAAACAAAACATTGTAAGTAAAACAACAAGAACAAAGAACTCTTGATATCTTAGTTACAAAAGAGAACCCCCCCCAAATCAGTGTGAAACATTGAGCTTCTCTTCTTACTCCATGTTTGTAGAAATACATAATATTAAAGTTGAGTTCATATGTAATATTTTCTTCCTACCTTGGAAATATCAATAAAACATTCCTAAAGAAAAATTTTGTTAGTCTTAAGATAATCTAAGGCCACTATTCTTTATGGGTACACCACATTGAGGAACATGAGGTATTTAATGTCAGACTTTCAGATTATTCTGACTAACTCACCACTTTGCCCTTCATATCTTCAAAACAACTATTTTGAGAACCACTGGTCTACAGCCAACAACATTCAAACCAAACTGTGAAACTGTGGCTACACTGTCTAAATATCATTCTTCCACAATGCTCATATCAGCAACCTACTTTAAACCACCACAACAGTAAAAATAATTTTGTACTTTTTATGGTAAAAGTACAAAAGTTATAGTACCTTTTTTTTATAACTCATCTTCTCTGGGGTAAGAAAAGCAATTTCTGCTACCAAAGAAAAAATTTGCTACCTGTATAAAGTAGATAAAGCATTAATAACTTTGTAATGAAGTAAATCTCTTCGATGTCTTTGATCTTTTTAATCTCACAGAAAACTAAACCAAATTTCAAGATCTATCATTGTTTTCATGCCAAATCAAACTTTTATTTATTTAAAAAAAATGCTGAACATGAGTAGTGCCCTCAAGTGATTACAGTCTTTTAACATGTGCTCTATACCCTTTCTTATCTTTTATTTATACACAGAAAAAAATTTTTGGATTTCTGATACCAACATCTCAGCAGCAAACATCCCTCCCTTAATGAGCTCTTTCTGCTTTTTTTTTTCAATATTTTAATCCTTAGTTATCAAAACTCAAATTTCCTGAGTTCTTTTAACACTTTTTGTGATACATTAAAGTTAAGATAAAAAACCACCTGCGCTTAACACAAAATCTCTTGTCTGTCTGAATGAACGTCTATATATATACACATATATCCAATACAGCACAAATTCTGTTGCTGAGTCTGAAAGGTTTAACGTCTATGAGTCTATGTTAATTTGTTTTTGTTTTAGTTTATAGCAATGGCACTCAAATATTAATATATATCAAAATTACCTGTAAACCTTGTTTAAACACAGATAGGTGGGCCTCAACCTTAGAGTTTCTGATTGAGCACACGTAGAGTAAAGCCCAAGGTTTGCTTTCTAGCAAGTTTCCAGATGATGCTGATGTTCCAGCTTGGGGCATCATGTTTTGGATCATAAAACTTACTAAGTCTTATGAACTTAGATAAGCACAGAATTCCATTCTAGGGTTACCTCTAATAGCTGCATTTGGTCAAATGTCTCTTAGGATAAGTTCACAACAATAATCAAAATTCCCATCTGAGAATTAATTTTCATCTATTTTTTTCAGCCTTATTTCTACAGCCTGCAGGAATATTAAAAAATATTCAGCCCTATCATAAACACAGATACATCAAATAACTTAATATTTCAATAAAAGAGGAATCAATGTGTGCACAGTTTGTTGGTCAAAGGTTAACAGTCAGAAGACAGCTATTATCACCTTTTTGTAGTGAAGAAATCTAGGTGCTAATAGCTTAAGGGACTTACCTGATGTCATTTAAAAAACTTCAAGTGGTATTTAGAAGAGGATCTGATCAACATTTTTAGTTCCTTATTTGTGGCAATAATCAAAAGGTAATGCTGTCTGTTTCTGGATGACAGAAACAAAAATTTTATTTCTTATTTTCATACTTAAAAGGTGCTGCTTTGGAAATACTCTGTAAATTATTAATGTTAACGATAATTTTATCTTACCCAGAAAGAGATAATTTTATCTTACCCACATATATCATCACCAATGGATAACAAAACACAGTTGTGATAAAGTACTTGCTTGTATGAAACCTACAAGTACACAAGGGCTTTCAATAAATAAAATAAAGGGAACGAATGCATCTTCAAAGAGTATTAGCCAAGCAACAACCTGGGGACCTAAATGTCTCATCTCTCACTCCCAACTTTTCTTCTTATGAGCTTTTAAGAAAGACCATCTCCCTGGACATAAGAATCCTCATCTGTAAAAGAAGAAGTATTGGAATAGAAGAGCTCTAAATCATTTAAGCGATAAAGATGATCACATAGCAGTCAAGCAAAAATTTATTTCTTTTGCTTTTTATTAATTTTCTCATTTAGCTGAAGATAGCAATTTATCTCAGCTAAAAAGTAAATTTTTAAACATATATTAATCTGGCCGTATCCTTAAAAACAGAGATTCACTTCTGCAGCAAAATGATTGACCCCGAAGTGAATCTTACAGTTAAAAATTAACAAGCAAATAAATACTACATCCTATTGAAATTACTGTACACTATAAGAACAGTAGAGAAGAAATGTATAATAAATGTTAAAACCCTACATGAGTTGCTATTATCATTGTTTGTTAACATTCATGGGCTAGTTTTTTTTCCCTAATAAACCATTAGACTTTATTTTTAAATATTGCCTTACCTTTCATAGCTATCTCTCTCTTGCTCTTTCTCCCATACACATGCACAGAGCTTTCTATTTTTCTTTATTAAGTCAGTTTCAGAATAATTATGAAAAAAAGATTTAAACTAAAATTACAGTCAGGGTCTGATTGCACCTCCAGAAAAAAAATCAAAATGGTAAATATAGGTACCTGGGTAAACTTCAATAAAAGATACTCAGTAGGAGCCAATATTTTGCTCAAATATTTCTTAAGAATATAGCATTGCCATTATATAAATAGATAATATTATCTCAGAAAAAATATATTTCAAATAATGTTTCATAAAAACATTACATTGCTCTATCATTTGAATAGATAAATTAACATTCTATTTAATTTTTACTTTCAAAGTAGCATATCTATTTTGAACTCTAAGGCCGGAAATAATCATTAATGTTTCTCATTTTAAAAAGGTTTTTCAAATCTAAATATTAGTCACAGATCTTGTTATTATGATGTATGAAAATACGCAAAAGAAGTGTCTTTAAAATACTCATCAACATCCACTGATTTCTACCACTTGGATGCCTGTTGGCCAACATCATTATACTACCAAAAGCAATAAACCTGGATTAGAGAATTCTGTCTACAATTATTACTAGAGAAAAAATAAAACTCACCATCCTAGAAAATTCCTATCTACTTAACATTATATTTGCTATTGTAAACATTTTTAATCTAAAAAGGAGTTTAGGTTTTACGAAAACTTAAAACATTCTTGAGAGCAGTTAACTGTTCATCTTGATTGGCCATTTAAAACAAACCAGACATGTTGACAACCTGAAGGTCACTTTGGTGGTTATCACCCATTGTAAAAATTGGGGGGAGGGCTAAATAAAGAAAAGAATTTAAAGAAAGGTTACATCATTCTTAGTGCATTAAGATCAAAATATAATACTGACTTACAGATGAATGACAGATATTCCATAAATTATTTAAATAATCATATATTTTCACCATTCCTTTTATAGATTACACACTTAGCAATTATCATTTGGGGGGGGTAAAACAAATTTCTGCCTTTTTCTTTTCCATTTTTTTACTAAATGAACCAAGTTACTGCAGCAGGTTTATCTCTTTCTCAGGCCAATCATTATGCTGAGGAGTGTGCTCTCACTAGTAGAGGATGTCATTGGTGGCAGCTCTACTTGTTGCCCTCACTGGAGAACAAAAACATGCCCCAGTGTTCCCACAGTTCATTATGGAACTACCTAACTCTTTCATAAACTGTGCAGTCACTTGGGAATCTATTTATGCTGGCAACTAATCACAACTAAAAGGTGATGAAATATGACACTATTAAAATTCAGCTGTTTGAAGATGATTCACTGATGAAAAAAATACCAAAAATTAATATAAAAACTTTATGCTACTGACTTTTTGTGAAGTATAATCCCAATTATATCCCCAAAATACCTAGAACAAATAGAAGGAAATATATTAAAATGCTGTATGCAGCTTCCTTTATTTATTGATTATTATAGATTTTTAAGTTTTTTCTTTCACTTTGCTTCTAGTACTTTTTAATTAAAAAAAACACACACACAGTGTGTTTTAAACATCATTATTAAAGAAAAAGAGAGAGCTCTGAATGAACCAGAGAAAGCAAAGAACCAAATAGAGAATTTGTACCTGACATGACCTTTTAAAAGTCAGAAATTCTGAACACTCAAGGAGTAAGTGTGTTTCAGAGGAAATGAGTTTACAAACTGAGAATCATCAAGAAATGGACACAAGTATAAGGCAGAGGAAGAAGATGAAGCAGACAAGTTGATACTTCCAAAAATATTCATGATGTTTTAGATATTTAAATTTATGTTAACAATTTAAGTATTAATGTGAATTTAAATATAATCATACTAGACACAAAGTGAATAGTTAAAATTAAGATTTTATGTTAAACTACTACTTGAGGGCCGGGCGCGGTGGCTCAAGCCTGTAATCCCAGCACTTTGGGAGGCCGAGGCGGGTGGATCACGAGGTCAAGAGATCGAGACCATCCTGGTCAACATGGTGAAACCCCGTCTCTACTAAAACTACAAAAAATTAGCTGGGCATGGTGGCACGTGCCTGTAATCCCAGCTACTCAGGAGGCTGAGGCAGGAGAATTGCCTGAACCCAGGAGGCGGAGGTTGCGGTGAGCCGAGATCGCGCCATTGCACTCCAGCCTGGGTAACAAGAGCGAAACTCCGTCTCAAAAAAAAAAAAAAAAAAACTACTACTTGAAAGAAGGGACTATCAAAACCGCTATTTAATAATGCATTTTTTTAAACTTTTAGAGCCTAACAACTTTTACTTTCCTTTGCTTTTCAATTTCTTCCAAAATTACAAAATTATATTAAAAGCCTCTTAATAACTGATCTCTTATAGTCTGCATATCTGCTAATGAATGGTATAGAAGACAAAAAAACCTTTTTATCAGGCAAATAATCGTCTGTGTAGCATATATTCATTGTTAGTAATTCTGAGCTTTTAAAGGTAGAATTCACTATAAAGTTTTGTGAAATGTTCTGATATGCAGTTCTCCCCAGTGACTAGAGGAAGATATTTATATGAAATATAAGCTACCACAACCACTTATGAAGATGGCAAACTTATATTCCTAGCTCCATGCCCAGAATTTAAAAGAAAAAATCCATTTGATTAAAATTCATCTTAAGTTTGTCTGAAATTAATGGATTCAAGTATATTCTAACATCTCTTCCAAAGGGGGAGGAATAGTGAACATTAACAAAATAAATGGTGTAGGTTATTACAAACAACAATTTCAAAGAGATATATCCATGAAGATATTCTAAAGACCAATATCTATGAGGTTTTCAGAGAATATTAGAATTCATAAATCAATTCAGCCAAGTTTTATTATTAAAATTTTATAAACTAAATATTCAAAGTACTTCACAATCAGACCTCACTAGTTTACAGCTTTATTTCCTGTCACCTATCATTCTAGAAAGTGGAGTAAGAAAGTTTCTACTAAATTATAATCTAAAGACTTTGGGATTCTTGCATAATGAACCCATAAATGGAAAACTAAAACAATGAACAATCATATTTGTGCTTAGGAAATTCAGCTTTTAGAAGTAACAGTAACAACAGTGATGTTCCAGAAGAAGGCTGTAATGCTATACCAGTGTTACACTTACTTAAGTTTAAACATGTACCCATGATCTTTCTTTTTTTTTTTTTTTTGAGACTGAGTTTCGCTCTTGTTACCCACACTGGAGGGCAGTGGCACTATCTCGGCTCACCGCAACCTCCGCCTCCTGGGTTCAAGCAATTCCCCTGCCTCAGCCTCCCGAGTAGCTGGGACTACAGGCGTGCACCACCATGCCCAGCTAATTTTTGTATTTTTAGTAGAGACGGGGTTTCAACATGTTGACCAGGATGGTCTCGATCTCTTCACCTTGTGATCCACCCGCCTCGGCCTCCCAAAGTGCTGGTTTTATAGGCGTGAGCCACCGCGCCCGGCCCCCATGATATTTCTTAAAAAGCTTTAGACACAAGTGCAAAGACTTCACAAAGAAAACAAAACTTCCAGTTTCAACTCAGAATTCATACAATAATAAGAGCATAGGTGTAACTAAAGTTATAATTCTGATTCCATATTTACTACTTGCCTGAAAACGTCTTGAGGGTAAAAACCATATCTGTCTCAATTATCATTCCATCTGTGGCTATAAGCACAGCACTCAATAACTACGTCCTAAGTAAATCCACTCAATTTAAGTGAATTCACATTGACAAAATATCTACTCTGTGATAAGCAATGGTGATACAAAAATAAAAAATGTGTGTCTGAGTCCACTTGTAGTTGTTTTGGCCTTGGTTTCAACATGTTTAAAAAAAAAATACTGGACCGAATAATTTCTCAAGTTCTTTCCTATCCTGAAATTCTAAAATTTTATTATGTTAAATATTAATTATACATCTTTTAAAAACATTCAGAGTAACATTATCAGTTTTAAGTTGTCTGTGAAATGGTAAGGAACAGTGGTTGTAAAGATTAGTGGTTAGAGAGCATGGAAATTGAGGTCGGTCTTTTTTTTGAGATAGTGTCATTCTTGTTGCCCAGGCGGGAGTGTAATGGTGTGATCTCAGCTCACTGCAACCTCCACCTCCTGGGCTCAAGCAATTCTCCTGCCTCAGCCTCCTGAGTAGCTAGGATTACAGGCACCTGCCAGCACACCTGGCTAATTTTTGTATTTTCAGTAGAGACAGGGTTTCACCCATGTTGGCCAGGCTGGTCTCAAACTCCTGACCTCAGGTTATCTACCAGCCTTGGCCTCCCAAAGTGCTGGGATTCAGTCATGGGCCGGCCTGGCCGGTCAGTGTTGAATCTAATAAATAGAGAGAAACCACAGTAATTTGAACACAGATAGTTTAGTATAATGAATTTTTGCCTATAGCAAGGGATCAGAATAAGGACAGACTGAATAGTAAGAAGTAAATATAAAAAATATATCAATAGCAAATATAAGAAGCAGTCACTATCCCTAGGGCTTGGATCCAGGCCTTATAGGACAGGGCATAGCCATACTTGTTGAATGATGGACAATTTGCTGAGGTGCCTAACTTGCAGAACTTGCAGGGATCTTGCTATAGAGTTCTGTGGAAGCTGTTCACTAAGGGGTGCCTCTCACTACAAAACAACCTTAGTGGAAGCTTCTGGCCACTGGGCGTGGTTGCCTCACATACACTGAAGGTACTAGATGCTGGGGAAGCTGCCCACCATGCAGGAGCCAAGCAATGAAGAAACTATTCATGCTGTGAGAGAACCTACTGAACACGCACTCCAAAACCAGAAAGCAAAGTTTTTCCTCCCACGCTGCCTCTCCATCACTCAGTACTGACAAAGTTTAACATTATACCAGTTGGCAAAGGGCCCAGATCTGTTTTCACAGAGTATGTAAAAATGATGAATTTGGGACTGAGAAGCAATAAACAGATAAGGAGTACTACCTTC